GGACTTGGAGTGGTGTATCGGCTGGTGAGGTGGTCGGAGAGGTCACCGAGGTGGTCGGAGAGGTCGCTGAGGTGGTCGGAGAGATCACCGAGGTGGTCGAAAAGATCACCGAGGTCCCCGACACTGGTGTGGTCTCATCTTCGGCATGATGTTAGCATGGCGTTATCAGAGCTAAACCACGGCTGACAGGTGGGTCCCACTGACGTCAGCATGATGTCATCATCTCAATTGGTCACTGACAGGTGGGTCCAGGGTCAAACGGTGACTGAAAGGTGAGGCGCGGTTCATGGTGAACCCGCCTGCATTGGTCCAAAGACCGCAGAGCCGGTCTATGAAGGACTTGGTCCACTTACTCCTTCCTAGGGTTCGGTTCACGTGCACCAAGTGCACGGACGTGTGGCCGGCGAGGGGAAAATCCCCATCTTCTTCCCCAGTGTGCTCCCGCCGGTGAGCCTCTCGAGCGGTATCGGTGTGCGATTAAGGTAGGCAAAAGCTTGGCCTTGCCATGGCGGGTGCCCCGGTTAAGTTAACGTGGTGGCCGGGCAGCTCTAGTTGGCTGGCCGCGGTGGCGGCGGTCCTCGTACACCGACAAGCGGCGGTGTGGTGGCTATGGCGGCGGTACCGGAGATTGGTGGTGCGCACGAGCTCCCCGACGCTGCTACGGCCATGGCGAGCAGGTCGAAGGAGCTCCGGGAGCTCTCAACGCCTCCGGCCACGGTGGTGGGGGCAAAGCGGAGGCGGTGGCGCTCTGACGAGGTGCGATGCGGCAACGTAGGGCTCCGGTGGGCTTCATCCTCGGCTAAGGTGAGCGTGGTGTGTCTTTTGTCATGGCGGAGCCAGTTGGGGTGTCAACGTCGCCTTTACCGCGACGTAGAAGATGCTGTGATCTCGCCATGGTTGTGCTCTCGGCCATGGAGTGCAGGGTGGTCATGCCAGTGTTCCCGAACCGCTAGGGGTCGGTGAGGCCAGGCCTTGGGCTTGTGCGCGTGCGGTGCATGTGCAGTGTGTCCAAGAGCGGGAATGCTCCGCCTCTGCGTCCCCTAGGTGCGGGAATGCGGTGGCATTCATGGCGAGTATAGCTAGCACGGTGAGCGGCGAACGACGTGGCTCACCGTAGGGCTCGTGACGGTAGGATGGCGGTGCGGTGGCGAGGCAAGGCCATGATGAGGCGATGCAGTGCCGTGCCAAGCAGCTACATCGTTGTAGCTGATCGGGGCGACGCTCCTGGCTCCGGCGAGGTCCGGTTCCGCAGCGGCTTCCTTCTCCTCCTTGCTTCTTCCTTCTCCCTCTCTCTCGGCTTGACACGGTGTGGTGCTGTGCCACCAGCGGCGGCGGCGAACGGGCTGAGGGTTAGGGCATCGCGGGCGTTGGCTTTTATAGCCGAGTTCCAAGGGCTCCAATGGCGGACAACGATCGGGCGGTGGTGATGCGTGCGGCGTATCCGACAGCCCGCGTGCGGTAGCGTAGGCGCGATGCAAGGGGGAACAGGGTCATGCTTCTTGCGTGACCCCTGGCCCATGCCTACCACGCTGGTCGGCCCCCGATCGCCCGGGGAGAATGCGTGGGCGAGGGGAAGAAGACGCTACTGTGCTGACAAGCGAGGTCGGGTCGTCAGGCGCTTGGCGCGTTGTGGCTGCGTGCGGCGCGTGATGGCTGCCGAGCGGGCCCGGCTTGTCAGCGGCTGTGCGCGTGCGGGCGGCGACGCTGGGCCGGCTTCGTGGGCTACGCACGTGAAAGGGCAGGCGAGGCTTGGCTGGGCTAGCTGGGCCGGTCGAGGCAGGCTGGGCTGAGCTGCTGCCTCCCTCTTTTTCCTTTTCTTTTTATGTTCGTTTCTCTTTTCTTTGTTTTGCTTCGATTCAAATTTAGTTAGAGTTTAAACTTGAGCTTCGAGTCATGTAGTGGGTCCCACAAGGTGTTTCAAATAGTGGTCAAAATACATCCCATATATTAGGGATTATTGGCTATGTTTATACAAAAATAGTTGAAGTTTTTATATAGGGGTGTTTTATTCTTCCAACAAATAATTCTTTATTTAGGGATTATCATAAATATTAAGTAAGTTAGTTAGACATCACATAAAGCAAAAGAATCCAAATCACAAGTGGAGTTAAGGATGCATGCATGATTTATTTATTTAGGAATTTAATTACACGTGTGGCATAAAACCAAACTATGCTTATGATTTTAACCTAGTTGGGTCACATCTAATGCAAAACTAGGGTTTGGCTTCTATATGTGTCACTCAACATCACATAGGGTTTTGAAGAAAAAAATTTGTAGTTGTGATTTTTGGTGTGTGGATTTTTGGGTTGTTACAACCTGGATCTCGCATCTTTGAGGTTGGGCGAGACGGAGTTCGTGCCCTCGAAGTCGGGCGAGACCAAGATATGCTCTTGACCACACAAGAAAGTTAGCGTTCACGGCCATTAGCTTACTTCTTCTGGGTATCCCTGATACTGATACCCGACACATTCCATTCAAATACATCAACCAACGAGTGTTACTATACAAATTGTCTTGGTAATCTCACTACCTCTTTCTTTACATGCTAAGCTTATCCACAAATGCGCAATGCAAATGCATTTAACATTCATTTGCGAGACCCTCAAGCCTTATCCAACCATACCACACTAAGTAAGTATGGTCACTGTAAATGGATAGGGAAAAAATAAAGGAATGTAGCAAGGCCGGAGGCAGTAGGGTAAAGTGATAAAAGACCGTATACAAATATGTAAATTAATATCTAAACTTTCAAATTAAAACAAGTAACATAAATTTGGACTTGTAAAGTTGGTTTGAATGCTATAATATGATACATATAATCATAGTAATAAATACCCCTAGTAGCACCCATAATAGCAGTCATTATAACGGTAGCGGCCCTCTACCGCTACACTACAAAGTAGCTAAGGATAGCATGTTGAAACTTAGCATCCCACTCTTATCGTAGTTAGGCACTATTCACTATGTGAATGGTTCAAGTAACAATGTGGACGTACCCATGACAACAAATATATCGAGGATGGTGATTTGAGTGATGATAAATAATGATGGGATGACGAATGACATTATCTTCAATTGATATGAAAGCTTAATTTTATTTTGTTTATGTATATCTTCTTTATTATTTGTTTATGTTTCTTTTTATACCGTGAATTGTAATCAACTAAAAACTTTTGATTATATTTAACAAACATGAGGTCGGTGTTGATATAAGGTGCAAAGTTTGTTTATTTGAAATATTCTGATATTGTAATTGTGCATCCGCTATCCACCATAAACTCTGACTCGCTATCTGGTATTTCTAATTCATAATAATGATGAGTATACGTCTTGACAAAATATTTTCTTAATTAAGGCCCCATTTGGTTCAGATTCTTGGGCGGCTCCTGAATCCGTTTTTCGGCTCCACCTACAAAACGCCTTTGACCTGCTCAGATCTTAGGAAAAAGCCTCGAAATTCCTGCTGAGACAAGGGAGGAGAGAGAGTAGAAGCTGAAATTTATGGCTTCTTCTGGCTTCCTCTAGCGGTAGAGGGCCCCATTGTGGCCATGGGTCTCCTTTGCCCCCCAAGCGTCTCTGCTGGGCGGCAGTCGTCTGGACTGACACCGCACGCCAGATCCGCTGGAATCGGGAGTGGGGCCCCTCTGGGGCGGCGGCGGCAGTCTTGAGTGAGGCGCTGTGTGGAGTAGAGTTGTGGGGCACACAGGCGGCCGAGATCTTGAGGCGGGGCTAGGCGATGTCTTGTTGCTTTCGGGGGCGCCAGGAGCCGTGGCCTCGACACGGGGAGGCGCGACGAAGCCGACGCACTGGGAAGAGGAACAGGGGAGCAACGACCTACGCGAGGCCTATCCGTGTGCGGGGTGATAAGGTAGAGACAAGGTAGTGAGAAAAGGAATAAATAAAAAGAAATAAAAGGAGAGAAAAAAGAAAAAAAAATGGTATTCTAGACATTTCATCCCTTTTTATCATAAGGAGAAGCTGTTTTGTCAATCGATCTAAAAAAATAGATTCAACTCCTCATGTGAATCTGCTCCACAGATGACCACAACTAAAACTGTTTTGGCTAAAGCGAGAGCTCACCTAAACGGGCCCTAAGTAATCCGACGCCACTGTATCCAGACATCCTATCTGTCACAATCGGAAAGCACAATGAAATGAAGGTGTTTTCAACGAAGCTAGTAGCAATTCCACAACAACACGGGGCCTCCAATTTCGTGTGTCCCTAGCAGGGGAAGAAAGCTACACCAACACAGCTCATGCCACCAGGCGCAGGCGGGCCCCGCCATCTCCGGTGCCCACGAGACCTTTCCGCACCAATCCCGCCCGTCTAATTCCAACGCCGCGCGAAATTTTTTCCACACGCCACACAGGAGACGTAACTCTCCCCTTCTCGCTGTCAACCCTGGTCCACCGGTGCCGTACGCGCCTCCAGCCCAGACCACCCTGCCACCGCCAAGTGGGCCCCGCACCACACACGCCAACCCGCTTTACACCAAACACCAGGCAGAAAGGGCCACCGCCATGTGGGCCCCGCCCATCACACCGCAATCACACGCACGGGCCCCCTCTTCCTGACCTTTCCTACCCGCACGCCAGAAGCGAAGAAAACCCACAACTAGGCGCACACCATCCCCACCGCCGCGCCCGCCCCGCCTCTTCGCCGGCGACGAGCCGCCGCCGAGGAGTTCAGCGTGGAGTGGCTCCCTCTCGTGTGGGAGACGCTGCCGAATTTCTCTGACTGGGTCGTCGTTGCTGTGTGCCGCCGAGATTAGAGTTTTTCAAAGGGTCTCTCCTTTGCGGCACTGGCCTCTTGAAGTTAGTTTATTTGGAGGCAGCTCGAGGCTCGCTTCGGAAGCGATCCGGTCGCCGCCGCCGCCACCGGCCGCGTCTTCCCGTAGTCGCCGTCTCGGGGCTGGCTGTGGTGATGAGCTCCGTCGGATCCTAGGGTTTTTGAATTCTGACGGCTTCGTCGAGCTGCGCAAGGCGTCCAGAAGGAGATGGTGCCGACTGGGTTGTTCGGGTGGGCGTCGCCCCATGTACAGCCGCTCACACCCGTATCCGAGGTCTCGGAGCCGCCGGAGTCGCCGTCGCCGTACGGGGACGGGCCGGCGGGGGATGCCGGCGTGGGGGCGAGGGAGGGGGAAGGCGCTGGCGCCGGAGAGGAGGAAGTGGAGGACGACGAGGTCGAGCCGCCGCCCGCGGCGGTGTCGTTCTGGAGGCTTTTCGAGTTTGCCGATGGGGTCGACTGGGCCCTTATGGCTGCTGGGGCGCTTGCCGCTGCTGCACATGGCGCGGCACTCGTTGTGTACCTTCACTACTTCGGGAGGGCCCTGAATTTGCTCGACTCTGAGCGGGTTGGGTCGTCTCTCTATGGCCGCGGTGATGAGCTGCTCCGGCGGTTTAAGGAGGTAAGCTGATACTTCTGATGCTTGGCACTTAGTTGTACATACAATAACTGTTATATTTTCGATTTTAGATGGAAGGATGTTTGAAATGTTTAAATTTTTATGGCGGATTATCTATTCTCCCGCAATGTCATTCTCAGAAGACAGTTCACTTTTTCCCGCCTATTGATTAGCTTGTAGCTACAGATGTTTGTTGTACTTTGGGGACATGGCAATTGTAAAAAATTATAGGACGCTGGTTGCTTTGATTTCTTATTGAATAGGTGCTTTTAGGTTGCATTTCAAACATTAGGGCTAGGAAAGTTTCCAACTGCACGTGTTTGCTGCTTTGCATTTTTTGAGTGTAGTTATGTTTATAACTCAAGTTATCACTTCAAATCAGTCCATTCTGATTTCGTTTCTGATGCAAAGTTTCCAAAGTCATCATGCGTTATTAGGAATTGGAATTGGTGGGTTGGGGTGTGTTTGGTATCACCTTTGCTGAAAGTTTGGGCTGCTGCTTCTGTGGAGGCACCTTTTGAAATTGCGTATATGTTGAGATGGAGAATGTAAGAGTGAAGTAGCCATGGTTTAAATGTTAGTAGTGTTTTATGGAATTGTCCATTTAAAAAAAATTATGTCAAGGTTGGTTGCAGGATGGTCTCCTTGATCTCAAGGATGCCAGAGTCTAAAGACGTTTATTGGTGTAATATGTGCTTCTTAGCTGTTAACACGTTAAGGGAACGGTTGATACTTGTTGATGTCTTGTGGTTGGTCATTATTGCTGTATCCATGTGTGATTGGAATGTTTTGAAAAGAGTTTTGCATTCTGAACGTTGAGTTCTTTTGTACTCTATATTCATTTAGTTTATGAAAGTTTGCCTGGAATATCCTATAGCTGCCTTTGGTAGTTTAGTTATAACCATTTTAGATTTTTTCTTGCAAACAAGGTAATTGAGGCAGCCAAGTGAATGTTTCACTTGACACTCTCTTTTCATAGCTGGTGTACCCTGTAGGCGGAGATAAAATTATGGGGATATGGCAGCTTCATCTGTGACCAGAGGAATTGAAAAAAAAAAACTGGACTGATGGGACCATTTCCTCAGGGGGTAACCAAGTAATTTCTAAAATATTCTACATTAAACACTTAAGTTATCTCATAATGGCTGCTATCTGGAACGTTCCTAGGCTCCCCACATCTGGTTCATTAATTGATGTGCACTGTTATCGTTGTACTCGGCCTTGTCGTTTATGGCAATCCATTTATTTATTCAGTTGTTTGATTCTGCTTGTACCCAAATTTTGGACTTGTAAGAAACTATTATCGAAACTTCTCCAAACGGGTGCTACCTTGCATTTTGTGTGTGACCTTGCATGTTTCTTTTGTCCCTTAGGACCCTCCCACCCAATTTTCCATATTCTGAAATTCATCTCTTGCCCTCTTACATTTTTTCATCAACGTTGCAGCATGCCTTGTATATTGTCTTTATAGCTGCTGGTGTTTTCGTCGCAGGATGGATAGGTAAGTAACTATTGTCATTTAAATTGCAGTTCTCACTCAGCACAAACACAAATTCCTGATTATTTCAGTTGTGCAGAGGTATCATGTTGGATTCTAACTGGGGAACGGCAGACTGCTGTCATCAGATCAAAATATGTTCAGGTTTTGCTAAATCAAGACATGAGTTTTTTTGATACATATGGTAACAACGGAGATATTGTTAGTCAAGTGCTCAGTGATGTATTGCTCATTCAGTCAGCTATAAGCGAGAAAGTAAGCCTAAACAGTCAAGTAACCATCTGTTCCTCTGGAATTATGACCTGCAGAGTGAACCTTGTCACTTTAGGGTCTTCTAACGACTGGGTTTCTTTGTAGGTTGGGAACTACATACATAATATGGCTACATTTGTTGGTGGTCTCATTGTTGGCCTTCTGAATTGTTGGCAAATAGCACTTCTAACTCTTGCCACTGGACCCTTGATTGTTGCAGCAGGAGGAATATCTAACATATTTCTTCATAGGCTGGCTGAAAACATTCAAGATGCATATGCTGAAGCAGCTAGCATTGCTGAACAGGTGCTACCTTTATTCATTGTGCCAATCTTTCTTTTGAACTTTTAAAGTATACACCAACCTAAGCCGCTGTCTGATACAGTGCTCATGGCTGCCATATCTTCGATGTCAAGAGTGCTGTATCAGAGGGCAGCTATTCTGCACTGTTGACTTCGTAGATTATACGATCATTCTGGTTTGATGTGCAATTAATTAGTTAAAATATGCCTGGTTCTAATGTGACTTGTGCATGTACAGGCCATCTCATACATCAGGACACTGTATGCTTTTACAAATGAAACTCTTGCAAAGTACTCCTATGCTACCTCACTTCAAGCCACACTTAGATATGGAATTTTGATTAGCCTTGTCCAAGGGATTGGTCTTGGATTTACATATGGACTTGCCATTTGCTCTTGTGCTTTGCAACTTTGGGTTGGAAGACATCTGATCCATCGCAGAAAAGCTGATGGCGGTGAAGTTGTGGTAGCTTTATTCTCTGTAATTCTGAGCGGCCTGTAAGCAACTTAATTTATGCAGAAGTTTTGCTTTATATAAATTATTCTGTCATCTATATCCTTATCTATGTTTCTTTTTGAATTTGTAGTGGTTTGAATCAAGCAGCTACAAACTTCTATTCATTTGAGCAAGGGCGCATTGCTGCTTATAGACTATATGAGATGATTAGTCGTTCAACTTCCAGCACCAATCAAGAAGGGACAACCTTACCCCAGGTGCAGGGGAATATTGAATTTCGAAATGTGTACTTTAGCTACCTGTCTCGTCCTGAAATCCCAATATTAAGTGGTTTCTTCCTCACTGTACCGGCGAGAAAAACTGTGGCACTTGTTGGTAGAAATGGCTCGGGGAAAAGCAGTATAATTCCTCTGATGGAGAGATTCTATGACCCAACATTAGGTAGTAGCACTGAGAAGCATCTTTTGTTTTCCACTTCTATTCCTCCATTTAAAAGGCTACTCGTATTTATGTTTCAGGTGAAGTTCTTTTGGATGGGGAAAACATAAAAAATTTGAAAGTAGAATGGTTAAGAAGCCAAATTGGTCTGGTGACACAAGAACCAGCCTTATTGAGTTTGAGCATTCGGGAAAATATTGCTTATGGAAGATCTGCTACCTTTGATCAGATAGAAGAGGCAGCAAAAACAGCCCATGCCCATGGGTTCATCAGTTCACTTGAAAAGGGGTATGAAACCCAGGTAAAGGAGGTACCATATATCTTGTTGTCTATCAAGGCTAGACTGCTTAGGCATCGAGTCTCTGGTACTCACTTTTAGAAATTCTGTAGGTTGGTCGAGCTGGTATAGCACTCACTGATGAACAGAAGATCAAAATTTCTATTGCTCGTGCTGTGCTTTCGAATCCATCCATTCTGTTGCTTGATGAGGTCACGGGAGGACTTGATTTTGAAGCTGAAAAAGCTGTACAAGAAGCATTAGATGTTCTCATGTTGGGAAGGTCAACCATTATAATTGCTAGACGTCTTTGCCTCATTAAAAATGCTGATTATATAGCTGTAATGGAGGAGGGTCATCTTGTTGAAATGGGGACACATGATGAACTTCTAAACTTGGATGGCCTTTATGCTGAGCTTTTAAGGTGTGAGGAAGCAACAAAACTTCCCAAAAGGTAAAGCCTTTTTTCATGGGCATTACCCAACATGTGGCTAAGCATATCTAGTACCTGTGGATACTCCCTCTGTCAAAAAAGAATGCAATTCTAGGTGCATTCTCGGTTAAAGTGCCTAAAGTTTGACTAAATATATTATTTAAAACATTAATGTTTATGATGCCAAAAGAATATATTATGAAAATATGTTTCCTGACTAATCTAATGGTACCTATTTAGTACACTATATTATAAATTTGGCCAAACTTACCATACTTTAACATAGCACTGTTCTAGGACGGAGGGAGTACTAATAACTAATTTTTAGATCCTAGAGCATTGATAACTATAGCATCATTTGAAATACGACTGGGCTGAAGAGATTTTGCTTAACCTTTTGTATTTATACTCTATGGATATTTGTTTGTTCTTGTTTTTTATTTCAATGTTTGTTCCGTCATATCTGCTGAAAAAAGTGTATGATTTGATTTGGACTACCTTATCTTGTTTCATGACAGGATGCCTACCAAGAACAACAGGGAGCGTAAGTCGCTCCAAATTGAGGACACATCAGTGAGCCAATATTTTCAAGAATCGTCCTCTCCTAAGATGGCAAAATCACCTTCACTACAAAGGACACATGGCATGCTTCAATTTTGGCGATCAGATACCAACAGAAACTCTCATGATTCACCAAAGGATCGAAGTCCACCTTCAGAGCAAACTATGGACAATGGGATACCTATGGTTGCAATTGAAACCGAAAGAACACCATCCATTAAGAGGCAGGATAGTTTTGAAATGAAATTACCTGATCTTCCTAAAGTTGATGTCCATCCTATACAGCGGCAGTCATCTAAGAATTCAGAACCTGACTCACCCATATCTCCTCTTTTGACTTCTGATCCTAAGAACGAGCGTTCACATTCACAAACTTTTAGCAGACCACAGAGTGAACGAGATGATACGAGTTCTGAACACAGTGAACTGGATGAGGTTCAGCACCAGAAACCTCCATCTTTTTGGCGTCTTGCAACACTTAGTATTGCTGAATGGCCTTATGCTCTTTTAGGTACAATTGGTGCTGCTATATTTGGCTCATTTAATCCACTGCTTGCTTACACAATAGCACTTATAGTGTCAGCATACTATCAAATAGAAATCCGTGATATGCGCCATGAAGTGAACAGATGGTGTTTATTCATAGTAGGCATGGGTGTTATTACAGTGCTGGTCAACTGGTTGCAACATTTCTATTTTGGAATAATGGGGGAGAAGATGACTGAGCGCATAAGAAGGATGATGTTCTCAGGTAATTGCAATCTGCATCTTTATATGCTGTTCTTGTATTCTGCTAATCATGTAGTTGGTTTTACCTTATTAGAGTTTAATTCTTATTTATGATTTCTTTGACAGCAATGCTACGCAATGAAGTTGGATGGTTTGACAAAGAGGAGAACAATGCTGATACACTGTCCATGCGCCTCGCAAATGATGCTACATTTGTCCGTGCTGCCTTCAGTAATCGGCTTTCCATATTTATACAAGACACTGCTGCAGTATCTGTGGCTCTCCTTATTGGAATGTTGTTGGAATGGCGGGTGGCACTTATTGCACTTGCAACTTTGCCAGTTCTTGTCATATCTGCTGTTGCACAGGTAATAAAGTTTTCTTTATTTGTCTGCTATCCCCTGAAAAGATTGGTATTTTAACAGAAATTTGATGCTTGTCCATGTAATTGTTGCACTGTGCACACTATTATTTGGTTGAGGTTGGATTAATAAAACACTAGAAATACGGGCGCGGCAATGCCGCGCTCCTCCTTGGAGAGGGCCAGCCTATGCATCTAGATTAATCACTGGTTGAATCTTACTAAATTATGCTGAAAAATAGATGAACACCAGATTCTAGAGGTCAGAGGGCCACAATTAATCATGTTGTGTTTGACGAACCTTTACCATTTTGTAAATGGCATTCCAATTATCCAACATGCCAATATCCATGGTCAAAATATGCTTCTTGTAATCAAGACAGAGCTGAGCACTACAGCTGCTCCTTGGATTCTGTCATAAAAATATTAAGACCTCCACGCTGATCAGGATGATGATAATCCATTCTAGAGAATCAAGCTTCTTGTTCAAAATACATGCAGTAAAACATTCCTAACAGAAAATCATTCGACCATGGAATGTTCTACATCACAGTATTAGTCTTACCTCAACAAATTTCAACTTAAAATCAAGGTTTTCAGATCTTTGTGTTAGCCTGTATTCATCTCAAAGGTACTCCCAATTTGAGTGTAGTTTTATTTTTCCATGATATATCTAACCTGGAAATCACAAGGTTGTAGCAAAAAGAAATAACACATACAAATTAGCAAGGTGGAAAATTAAAAATTCAAAAGACAGATTAGAAGATAATCTTTTTCTCTCATGATCTGTATATATCCTGTACTGCAAAACTGGGGATCAATTAAACCAATATTACCTTGTCTTGAGATATGTGATTTGAATCTATGGAATCCCAAGCTTGTCATAAAATTTGCCTGTACAAAGATGAGGAGGTACATAGAATGATGTTAACTTTAAATCCTTCCAGAGTGACCATTAGGCTACTTTATTCTTACATCCAGAATACAACCATTAGGCAGATTAGATATCAACTTTAGGAAGGATATATTTACTTTTAAGAAATAAAGACATACTACAAATGCCAATTTAACGCCAGCCACGTTTGCCGCTGTCTATCTCAAGTTCCTTGAAATAGCAAACTGTTGACCTCATAATATCTTGGGCTATATTAAGTGTTGTAGAGATTGTATGAACTGGACCAAGGATTTGTTTCTTCTTGCTATAAGTAATCAATTAGTTTATTATTTGATAAGAGCTTTCTTGTTCTAACGACAATCCCTACAAGCTGATTCTCGGTGGTCTTAAATTTTGGCAATTTCGATTTATCTATAATGCTATATTTTATTTTCTTGATCAGAATGCTAACAGAATAAACCCTGCAATAGTGGCACACCCAGTTGTCTCTGCCTGATGCTCTCTTCCAAATCCTAGGAGAAATTCCCACAAGCATTCATGAATGACAATAAGATCAAATTAATTTCTGAACATACTAGGAGACAGATGCAATCTTAGGAGTAAGTAGTAGCAGCAGCAGCAGCAGCGGTGGTGGTGGTGGTACCACTACTACGACTACTACTACTAAGCAGGAGCAGCAGGAGTAGCAAGTCCACTGCTTGTTCCCCTCCTCGGACCAATCCCCTAAAGACACAGTGGAAGGGCCTGCCTGCTCGGGTGAGCATCGTGCAAGCGGGAGAACACGGCTGCGTCGCTGGGCGAATTGAGTAGCGGATGTGGCAGTGGTCGCGCAGCAGAGATGGAGAACTCCCGTCACTATACTGCAGTAGCCCGTTGCTCATACTGCTGGGCCTGGCCAGGATCTGAGCACGCCATTGCCTAGACTTCTGCTTGTTCTTCGACGGCCATAGAGGCAGGCAGCAAAAGGAGAGGAGCAGGAAGGTGATGTGTCTACATTGGGGATATGGGAGAGAGCTATGAGGTGGAGCTCCACGGCAACGGTCGCTTCCGCCTGGCCTCCGCCATTTTTCTGTGGCCTAGCTTCTTCTCGTCTCATGCTGCTGTACCAACCATGGCATCGAGGACTACGCCACGGATGAGGAGACGCCACGAGAGAAGCAGGCAAATAGGCGGAGCATTGAGCGTTGTGTGATGAGGAGGCTGGCCCTGCAGCCCCTGGAGGTCGAGCTTGAGCTCGAGCGTATAGCGGTAGGAGGTGGCGCGCCGAGCAAGGAAAGGAGAGGGAGGAGGGAAGAGTGAACGACGGCTGGGAGCGCGGCCGACGCCGGTGGATCGCCCCGTTCCGTGGCAGGGACAACCCGGGAAGATCAGGCGGCCGGCGGCACGAGAGGTGGAGGCGTGGAGCCGCGAGAAAGTTCATGATTGTTCGGGTTCCGAAGAAGCGGGTGGAGAGTGGAGACCCGAACCAAACCGCGATCGGACGGACGACATCGTTAGTACGGCGGATCAGACGGCGAGAGGGATAGCGGACAATGTGGCGCTATCGGGTGCCCGAGCTTGGACTCTGGATTCGAAAGTTAGAGATTGGCAATGATGTGGTAACATGTTGTGAGAATGGAAATCTTTTCATAAATATTGTTTGATCAATCTGAGTCTCAGTTATACTTTGGATCACTTGGATCCTAGTGTATACAAGCTGATCATAATAAAGCCTTATGAGTCCTGGTGGCTTCCATTGCCTTGGCATTTACTTCCTTTGAAGCTTGCATGTGTAAGACCGAATATTCTGTCAAAGATTACTGAAGACTTCAAACTCTAAAATATTACTTTTCATGTTAGTAATGGGCTTTGTGACATATGGGTTACAGATATTGAAATTTTTATATCATGCTACTTGCTCTTAGCAGCAGTGCTTCATATGTTCCATATGTTATAACTGTAGCACATTAGTATACTGGCAAATCTCTAATGGGTCTAATAACTTGTGTTGCAGAAATTGTGGCTTGCTGGCTTCTCAAGAGGAATCCAGGAAATGCATAGAAAGGCTTCGTTGGTGCTTGAAGATGCAGTGCGGAACATATACACTGTAGTAGCATTCTGTGCTGGGGATAAGATAATGGAACTGTACAGACTACATCTTGGCAAGATACTAAAACAAAGTCTTGTGCAAGGACTGGCAATAGGCTTTGGCTTTGGTCTCTCCCAGTTCCTTCTTTTTGCCTGCAATGCCCTGCTTCTTTGGTACACTGCTATTTCAGTTGACCAACAACGTCTGACAATAGCCACAGGACTAAAAGAGTACATTCTGTTTTCATTTGCATCATTCGCATTGGTGGAGCCATTTGGACTTGCACCTTACATTCTTAAAAGGAGGAAATCTCTTAGGTCAGTATTTGAAATTATTGACCGTGAGCCAAAGATTGATCCTGATGATACCACCGGCTTGAAACCACCCAATGTCTACGGAAGCATTGAATTCAAGAATGTTGATTTCTCTTATCCTGCTCGCCCAGACATTCTTGTGCTGAGTAATTTTAATCTTAAAGTGAGTGGTGGGCAGACAGTTGCAGTGGTTGGTGTTTCAGGATCAGGGAAAAGCACTGTTATTTCTTTGATCGAGAGATTCTATGACCCTGTTTCTGGCCAAGTTCTACTGGATGGTCGAGATCTGAAATCATTTAACCTTAGATGGTTGCGTAGCCACATGGGACTGATTCAGCAAGATCCAGTTATTTTCTCAACAACCATAAGAGAGAACATTATTTATGCAAGGCACAATGCAACAGAGGCTGAGATGAAGGAAGCTGCAAGGATAGCAAATGCTCATCATTTCATCAGCAGCTTGCCACATGGATATGACACTCATGTGGGAATGAGAGGGGTTGATCTAACACCTGGGCAAAAGCAACGGATTGCCATTGCTAGGGTGGTTTTGAAGAATGCACCTATATTGTTGTTGGATGAGGCCAGCTCTGCAATCGAGTCCGAATCAAGTAGAGTGGTACAAGAAGCTCTCGACACTCTGGTCATGGGTAACAAGACAACAATTCTCATTGCGCACAGGGCAGCAATGATGAAGCATGTGGATAACATTGTTGTCCTAAATGGTGGTAGGATAGTTGAGCAGGGCACACATGACTCTCTGATGGACCAGAATGGTCTATATGTTGGATTGATGCAACCCCATTTTGGCAAGGGCCTTCGCCAGCATCGGCTAATGTAATTATTGTTGGGCTTGTTAGGTGTAAATTATCCTAGGGCATGATCAGGTTTCCTTCTGCTCTTGGTGCAGCTATTCAGGCGCCCTTTTTGGCACATGAAAAATGCTGGAAGTTGCCGCCCTGCTGATGCTGTTCTGAGTAAGCGGAATGCTGGCCTGATCTTGACAAAAAAAAAATTAGCTTGGAGATTCAGGTAAGTAACTGTGTTGAAACTGTAGGGCACAACTCATTCTGGAAATAGTTAGCAAGTTTGGAGGGCATTGTAATTTTTGTAATATATGAGTTGAAACATTCTTTCAGAGGCTCGTGCTTGTGATGTCTCTCGCCTCTGTAATGCTAGTGTTTTGATCATTTAACTTGTGTATAAAGTTCGATTCTTGGTCAGTCCAAGTCTTGCAGCCGTGATGAAAAGCCTGTTACTGGGTAATTCTGGACGCGGCGTTATTTCCGGCAACGATACCGTTCAGATTAGGAGCTGCAGATGTTGAAAATTCGAACCAAATTCTTTTTTATTTGGAATTGATTATTTTATTGGGTCGATGGGCACGAGCGAAGCGTGTTTCATATTGACTGCGCCATGGCGAGCTTCACCGTTTCTGGCTTCCTCGGCAGGCTACAACTTGCATGTTGTATGCTAGGGCTAACAGCGGCATGATTTTTTTTTTTTTTTTGCATTGGACATATTTGTTGAAGTAGATTAAGTGAAAATTAAACTAAGTTTTACTTGAGTCAACTCCAACACCTATAGATTAATGTGAATACTTATGCATCTAAAGGGCCCACAGTGGATTAATGCCATCACGATTTTAAAGTCAAGGACACACTTGGGAACCTCGACAAAAGACACGACTCTGGTTTACTCTAACAAGTGCTATACGCGACAGTTCATACGCTGTTTTATTTTGCGTTCTTCCAACATTCCGAGCCACTAAACTCAGAGCTGCCGGTTATCACAGAGTGCATCGACGACGATGGGCGCCTGGCCACCAAAGATCTGCCCCTTCCAACTTGATTACCTGACCAATATTTGCTGTCTTTTTGTCTTGGCAAACAGCCCAGCTCAACTAAACAGACTTACGCAGAAAAGTCGGTTAATATGATTTGCTAGAAAAGCCAATAACAAAAAATCAACCGAAGCTGAAAACTAAAAGTCAGAAAAGCAGTTTTTCAGCAAAAAAAAGAAAGAAAAAAACGAAAAAAAACAAGGTTTGGGCCAAACAAAGCGCTTCTCCGGTCTCCACGGTCGACGACGCCACACGCCAGGGCGCCAGGCAGCCTGACCTTCCAAGCGCGGACACCTGTGTTTCCTCCGCATCCCGACTTGACAGTTGACACCCACCGCCGCGGCACCCGACTGACTGACCGTGGCCTTATTTAAACAGGATGTAAAGTTTTGGGAGTCACGTACGCAGGTGTTGCACGAGAATCCGATAGTAATCCGAGACAAATTTATTAAATCTAATTAATTTATCATTAGCACATGTGTTACTATAGCACCATATTGTCAACTTATGAACTAATTAGGCTTAAAAGATTCGTTTTGTAAATTAGTCGTAAACTATGTAATTAGTTATTTTTTAGTCTATATTTAATACCCTACTTAGTAAACTTTAGGGAGAGAAAACTCAACAAAGCCTGAGCTACGAAGGCACCGTCAACATTAATTGTGACACCATCGCCCATCACATCACTCGTCAAACTTGTGCTTGAAACAATCTAGTGATAAATCCTTGTTTCTATTTTTCATTAGCTTCATTTCGAAACTTTCTAGCCGCATGAGTGTTGTACCGACAGCTGGATGCTGCTCACGGAGCGTGTAATTTTGGGAGCCACGAGCCGACAGGAATGCAACCAGCACAAGGCATTTCATCTTTCGCTAACATGGTACGCACATCTGCATTAGTGACAATAGGCACGGGTATCACACCAGGGGTATATACATTTCTCTTCACGAAGCATACTGCATACATATACCATGGCTCATGAGGCAGTGCATTACATCACAGTTAAAAGACACCCTCAAGAATATAAACGAGTTACTAGCTCTAAGATAATTTTTCTAATAATCGGTCTGTTCGCTGGTTGGTTTTTGGGCTGATAAGTCCAGCTGGTGTTGGTTTTGATAAACCCTGGCTGACCAACAAGCGAACAGGCTGAATACTAACTTTAGCACATTGCTCATGGCATGTGTATCCTCACGTAACACTCTCACGTAATCTTAGATATTGTGTATGAGCTTAGCTCTTCGTCAAGAGCGAGTTTTTATTAAAGTATGAAATAATATGCTTTGAGCTAGCTCATAAATCATCATTGGAGCTGCCCTAGTAGAAGCAAGCGATCACGCTGTCAGATCCGAGATCTTGAATGAGTCCGCGACGACTTTGAGCCTGTTCCGCAGTCTGCTCCACCGGCGTTCGTTCGCGGTCACGATCAGCGTGTAGTATCGACCTGGAGGAAAAAAAAAAAAAGTTTCATATCATTGTTTTCAACGGGAAACACATGGGCCGACATAAGACGTTTTGCGGTTCATAGGCATCCTACCGTTACCAATGGCGACCGTTGCAAACGCAGAAACACCGTAGCCCGGAGCCTCCAGATCGTACTCAAACGTCCAGTAGTTCTTGCCGTCAACAGTACGCTGCAAAAATAGTACGATCAGCTGCGTATTTCAGTAGCAGTTTTTACTCGTAAACTGCATCTCAAACGAGCGCTGAGCTGCGTTGCAATAGAACAGTGAGTATAGCACATAAATTCGTTGGTTATAAGAGTTTCTGCTCAGGCAGTTAGGTAGCACATAAATTTGGCAACCCGTGGCCAGGCAAGAAATGTTGATTGAATAAGCAATGAACAGACGGCAGACCTCTTGCATGTCATAGACCGACGGTATTTGATTCGGGGCAGCATAAACGTTGTTTACCAGATTGAAGATGGCCTGGTATAATGTGAAAAATATTCATCAGATCAGCAAAAACGAATCTCTGAGCTTTCAAAGCTATGTCTATCTTCTGTGACTAATCAAAGTAAAGAGTACATAGGCCAAAGAAAACACCTCATCCATTGGTCCTAGGTCGCGGATATCTGTTTTCTCAGTAGGAATAAATCCCACACGAACACACTGAAGGGCAAAATTTTTATCTTTGAATGCTGAATCATGACCCAAGAAGTCGAAATCCTATCCAGGGACAAAGAAACAAAGGAACCATGAAAATTACCCTTCAGAACCATTTGAGTCATTATTCAAGAGTCACATGACCACCTACCCTCCATTCAGCTGGATAAAGATATGAGTATCCATCTTTCGCATCCACGTAAGACTTATAATTCTTCGGTACTTCTGAAATCAAGGACCAGCTCCAATTAATGTCAAATATATATATATATATATATATATAAAGACAGAAAGGCTGCTTGAGAACTATAGTCTGATCCTGATAAGTGATCAACACGATGTCAGGCCATCCAAAATGGTCATACCTTCAGCAAATGCAGAGCTTGTCTTCAGTAGGCCAGTGGCTAATGCTCCAGCACCAAACAAAGCTAATCGCCTTTTCGTGACCTCTATATAAGTGGAGAGATGTTATAAACAAAATTCTGTTGCCCATCAGATGTATGAAAAAGAACAAAAGGAGCAATTACTACTGTCATTCAAAGATCCTTCTTGCAAGCTTGCTGCCACAACTGAGGGAGAAGCCCCATTCGGTTTGGCAGTCACCGCACAATTTGGCACAACCAACTGAAAATCAGCACCCGGGTTCAAGCTATTACTCCCCAGAACCGCAGGGAAAATAAATAAATTCCAGAAAACAGTGAGAAGGGGCTTGAGCACATACTTGTTTGGATACGGAGCAAATCAGATTCTGCAAGCTTGCCATTTCACCTTCAGTAGTTCAGGTTGGCACTGAGCTCAAGGAAGAGTTCTGTGAAGCTTGCAGCCCAGCATCAGTTATCCACAGCTGCTGGACACGCCCACTTTTCCAGTATCGAGTGTGTGGGTGGAAGCCAAGGCAGCCAAGTCAGCATTTTCATTATCCTCATTTCAGCACTTTTGGTTGTCTTGTATTGACCACTGGCTGACAAAAGTGGGCTATCCCAACAGGCAACAGCCCTTCTGATGGATAGGTGGTTCCGACGATGACATGTTCCTGCTCGTTTTTATGGGGTAATATTTAATAACATATTAAGATATATGCCAACAAGAGCAAGCGGATCATAGTCAGACATCATAATACATCAGCTGCAGCTTAACAAATTTGCCACAATAAAAAGAAACAAAGTTGCAAGATGCATGCATATCAGATAGACCGTTAAAGGCTGAAGAGGAACTGTTCTGAATAGAGTGATTTTGATGCCATAAAACAAAATTTCCAGGTTACATAATTTCATGACACCATGATAAACAATATACAACAGCGGCTACAATTATTCAAGGCTAGTAAGCTTTTGGTGCAGGCTTCACTAGTCCTAACCCAGAACCACTACCCAAATGCTTGAAATCCCTTGCCTCCAAGCGTTCATCATGCGCAGCAAACCCAGTTCCTCCTTTCTCCAATGGAACCAGATTCCTCTCCTTGAATGGTTTGCTGCACTCTAAGCAAGCTTTATCCTTTACTAGAAACTTGTCTGAGCACTTCTTGCAGAAGACGTGGCCACAGGTGCTGACCACCACAAGGGACATGGTATTTGTGAGAGTGGATTTGCAACTAGGGCACATGTAGCTCTTTTCCACTCCCTTCTTGCTCTTTTGATCAGCAGTTTCCTCCGTGAATGAGATAGGGAAGAGCGATTTCAACTTGAGCTTCTCCTGCCCCTCAGGGCAGATAGTGTCGGTGGAGGGTGCATCTACCTTGACCGTAGCTTTAGGAGTAGCTGAAGGGAGCCAGAATGCCTTCATGTTGCGGAGGGCTTCCTCTTCAAAAGAAGTGACCTTCACACTGTTTGCTCCATGAAACCCATTCTTGTCTTGGGAACCACTGCGATCATGGTACTGGGGAACAGCCCCATGATTCTGCTGGTCAAAGGCATCCAACTCCTTAGCCTTCTGCAGAATTAGCTTCTCCTCCTCCTCCTCCTTCTCTTGCTTTTTCTGGGCCTCGTGAGCTGCTAGCTTGCTGGAACAACAAGAGTAAACACTCAGTACTCTGTTCATTAGACTCAATTAGAAAGCTGATAGTTTAAGGCCAACTACAGAATTTTTGAAGCCCATCATGAACAACAGGAATTCTAGGTAAGGAAACTACAAGAGGGAAATTAAGTCTAATGAACAGTGGGCGATGAACACGACTGCTCGCAAAATGAACTATAGCAAACAAACATGAACTTGCAGGTACAATGAGAAATGGCTAGGGTCAAATTTTGGATGCTGAGACTACACTACATACAAGAGCCCAAATCAAGACACGGTATGGATCCATGAAAGATAATTTTATCCCAAGTACAGGTGTGACCTTGGCAAAACTAAATCTAACTCCAGGTCAGATAATGTTGGCCTAAAATTCATGGGCGTGCTTAGCTTAATATCCGCACAAAAATCATCAGCCACCTGAGTCTAACAGCACTGATATTAGCCTGACAATTCTTCCAGCAGATATCCTGCATCCTTCTCTCATCCCTACCACCGCGCACCCTCATACCCCATTGGCCCAACCAAATACTACCTAAAGCAATTAAGCAATCAATAATCCAGAGAAATAGACCGTGCAGCGTTGCTACCTACCGCTTGATGTCCTTCTTCTGGGCGAGGAGGCATTCGAGGATGCACTCCTTACAGAAGGTGTGGCCCTTGGGGCAGCAGAGCGGGTCCATGAGCGGCTTGAGGCAGAGGCAGCAGGCGTCGAAGGGCTTGATGGAGTCCTTTCCCAGACGCTCCCGCTGCGTGCCGTACCCGAGCTTCCGCTTCTCCTCGTACGTGAAGAAGGCAAGGTCGTTGTTGTTCTTCGAGTGCCGCTGCGGCATCTTAGCTCGTGCCTCGAATCGGCTTAGTGCGGGAGGATGCGGGGAGATCGGCTGGCGGAGGAAGGCTTTCGCTCGCTTGGAACCCTAGATTTGTTGGACGCGGGGAAGAGAAAGGGGCGAGGGAGGAAGATGATGCTGGTGACGAGAGGAACCCTGGGCCTGGGTCGGGCTCGGGGGATTCCGTCCGTGCACACAAGTGGGCTGGACCGAGCGGGATTTTTTTATCGTGTATAACTTGGAAACATACCGTCTACATACTCATACTCATACTCATATTATAAGTACACACGTGGACGTCCATACACATGTAAATAAGAGATTAGGAGACACCGTCTCCGGTGCGCGGAAAACACGTAGTATCACCGAACGTGCACGCGTACGTATACCCTAAAAATTCTAGAAAAATTATAGAAAAAGATGAGATCACCCGAATTTGGCCATGTGCCGAATTTTTTTTCAACATAAATGCACATAACATATATAAACAGTGATTACCAAAAAATAAGGGGTTATACACTGGGGCTTACCTTGGGTAGGTGCGGTGTCAGCTAAGTAAGTCAGTGGCGGCTTCGAGACCTTCTCCTGCACGAGAATCTCTTCCTCGTACTCCTCGATGATATCTTCGAACTCGTGATCGCCGGTGGTCACGATATTCATCAACTCGTTCTCTACATGCATGCAATGATGATGCAACACCTAGTATTTATGCAACATCAACTCTTAAAATAAGAATACGTATACTAAACTACTAAGCTAGCTCTAATGACTAAGGTACTAATCTAACTATCATTTTTACCAAGCAAAGCGTTGGGTTTAACTAACAAACACCTAGCTTTACAAATGAAGAATATATCTTTATTTTTACTAATGATTTGATGTATATTGAAACAAAGAGCATTTAACTACTTTAATGCTTAGTCTATTCTAAAGCTACAAAATTACAGTGAGCACATAATAATACAATAAAACTACCGTAAAAATTTCAGGACTAAAACAATCACCGATTTACCACAAAATTCATACAATAATTCTCTTAACAATATTAAACATTTTCAAATGATTTAATATCTCCTAGTATCAACATGTACATATATGAACTAAATACACTAACAGATATAGTACAACTTTAGGAACTTAACAAAATTTGTTTCATATTTTTTGGACATCTACATGATTTTATATGATTTACCAAAGATCAGCTCAAAAATTACATTAAAAACTATTTCTAATTCCTTATGAAAAAAGAAAAATAAATTCTCCCGCGCGGCCCACGCGACACCGGCCCACGCGGAGACGGCTCGCGGCGGAGAAACACCGCGCGCGCTGATGTTTTTGTAAAATAGACCTCGCACTTCTCCCGAATTACATCTAAGTACTAACACTATTTCCCCCTATTTCAGAACTTCTCACTTAATCCCCTGGTCTTTCCCTAATTCACCTGCGCGCACCCTCGGCGACTCAGTGCATGGTGGCGCGGTGAGCGGCGGCACTGAGCGCCTACGTCGGCAACCTAGGACCTGTATGGGCCCACCTAACGGGTCGATCACCATCTCTGTCCTGAGCGGCTACGGGTGATACGACTTGCCGGGGAAGGCTGCAGCGGTGCGCGGCCATCCGCGATGACGGCGCCACTGTTCCAGTAAGCTGGGGCAGCTACAGACCTAATCGGTTAGCACGTGAGCATCAGAAGGCTACCATGTACCAGGCCGAGGTGATAGTTGAGGTGGAAGATGACGGAGGAAGGCTAGCCACGTGCGGCCGAGCTCGTGCGATGGTGCACCGCGGCAGCACGGTCGCGTCAGCGATAAAGGGGAGGCGGTAGCGGCTCGACTAAGGCACGCAAGGTGGAGAGGGAGTCAAGACGATGCTAGTGGTGTAGGTGAATTGGCTCGGGAGAGACGATAGGAGAGCTGCCCACACCCACGGTCGGACGTGGCCTTATCGGCACGACGGCGAAAGAAACTCCAAATTGGAGCTTGGTCGTGCTCGCTTCAAAGCTGGGTGGGGTCAGGCAGCGAGAGGACGTGATGGTGAAGCCATGGCTGCGATGAATTAAATGGAGGTGATCGTTCGTAGGGCAATTGATGGCACGGCTCGGCGGCGGCAGCGGAGGAAGAGAAAGAGAGAAAGAGAGAGACGGAGCACGGTAGGTGGGCTCGGCTCGTCCTCGCCTTGGCAGGACGGGAGCGACGCAATCAGGACACCCACACGTAGGCACTATGAACAAGGCATGAGCGCGTCCGACCGACGAGGCCTGCGCGGCCATAGTGTCTTAAATGACAAGGCGACGGTGGGTCAGCCATGTGCGTGTGGCAGTGGCGGCCTTAAACTGGGCTGGCAGCGGCACAGAGAGTACAGCAGACAAGCACGAACGCGACGACAGTGCGAGGCTGGTCGGTGGTGCGGTGAGGTGACGGCAGCGTAGCACGGCCATGGCGACACCAATGGCGGCAACACGAGGTAGGGCAGCAAGGCACGAGGCCAGGTGTGGCCCAGGCCTAGGTGGCCCAACCAGCCAAGCATGGCGGCACAGAATGACCGCGCGGGATGTGGCCATGTGTGCGGTGCGGGGTGGCCGCGCGGTGACCGTACGCACGGCGCCAACCATCCTGAGACTATGACTTGCATGAATTTTGAAGCACCCAAAATGACTAACCGGTTGCTCCAGGAGCCAAACCATCTTTACCATGCTCAAGATGACATATTGAAAGCTCTAGTTTGGTTTTGGTAAATTGGTGAAACCCTAAGTGCTAACCTAGTTTATCAAAGTGATTATGAGATATGTGGCACATTCCAAGTGGTGAAGTAAATGAAGATCATGACATGATGATGATGGTGATGGCATGGTGATGATCATATGCTTGGACTTGGAAAAGAGAAAAAAACAAAAAGCTCAAGGCAAAGGTGAAATTAATAGGAGCTTTTCGGTTTAGTAATCGAGACACTTAGAGAGTGTGATCACATTTAGGATCGATAGCTGTACTATTAAGAGGGGTGAAACTCGTATCAAAATACAGTTATCAAAGTGTCACTAGATGCTCTAACTCATTGCATATGCATTTAGGATCTAGTGGAGTGCTAACACCCTTGAAAATGTTTGTGAAAATATGCTAACACACATGCACAAAGGTGATACACATTGTGTTTAGCACTTGGGAGCAAGGGTAAGAACTTCACTAGTGGAGTGTTCGCCCGTAGAGTATGGACAGTCCGACGGTGCCATTGGCACCCTGTACAGAAAAGATAGGTTTTCACAGAGTGCACCGGATGCTGGCCTCAACTAGACCGGAGCGTCCAATCAGTGGAAGCAGTGAAGACGCTGGCGTCGGTCTTCGACCGGACATTGGGTCACTTCATGACTGGACGTTAATAGGGTGCGTCTAGTCCTGCTGACGTGGTAGCGCATAGAGAAGAGGGTGACTGACCAAACGCTGGGTGAGTCCGGTCAGGGGTAACTAGACGCGTCCAATCATGAAAAATTGTCTATGGATGCTTACTGGAAGTGACCGGACACTGGGGTCCTGCGTCTGGTCGTTATCAACCGGACATGTCCGGTCATGAATGGAACCTTACTGGAAACAACCGGATGCTGAGGTCCTGTGTCCGATCACTTCGAAGCAGCGCGTCCGGTCACAACTTAAATGTACTGATGACCGTTGAGATCGGACGATCATCATTTGAAGTAGGTGCCACGTGGCATGCATCACGCGACTGGACGCTAGGGTCCAGCGTCTGGTCGATCTGACCGGCGCGTCTGGTCGCCCCGATTTTCAATAGACTAAGGATCAAACGGCTCTATTTCGTGGGGGCTTCTATTTAAGCCCTATGGTCGGCTCAAGCTCACTCTCTTGGCCATTTGGATTGACATAGCAACCTTATAAGCTTAGCCAAAGTCCTCCCACTTATCTCCATCATTGATTCATCATCTTTGTGAGATTGGGAGATAATCCAAGTGCATTGCTTGAGTGATTATATCTAGAGGCACTTGGTGTTCGTGTTTTGCTGCCGGATTCGCTTGTTGCTCTTGGTGGTTGCTATCACCTAGACGACTTGGTGCAGCGGAGGAGGATTGGCACGAGTTGATGATTGTTCGTGGCCATCTCCGGTGATTGTGAGGGGACTTGTACCTTTCCCTTTGGATTGATCGTGTCATTGAGTTACTTTACTTGTGGGGGGGTTCTTGCGGTGTCAAATTGTGTGGAAGAGGTTCGTGCAACACCTCTTAGCCACCGAACCACCAAGTGTTGGTCGACACAACGGGGACATAGCATGTTGGCAAGCACGTGAACCTCGGAAGAAAATTAATTGTCTCTTGCCCTTTGGTAATCTCCCGTGATTGAGTTAATATTCATCTTGTGATTGGTTCACTCCTCTACTTACTCATTTACATTCTCGCAAACTAGTTGTAACAAGCTCTTTAGTGTAGTTAGAATTGAGAGCTTGCTTTGTAACTTAAGTTCATCTAGTGAAGCTCTTTAGAGTAGCAAGTGTGAGAGCTCTTAGTGAGTAGTGACTTAGTAAATTATGTGTCTAGTGATCATAGTAACTAGAATTATTGTAGAGCTAAAGCAAGTTTGATTTTCGCTATTTGTCATACTAATCAAATTGCTCTAGTTGGTTTGTAGATTTTTAAAATAGGCTATTCACCCCCCCTCTAGCCATATTAGGACCTTTCACATATGAGACTACCAAATCGAGCTATAACACTACACCACCCCTTAACCTAATCTCTCAAAATAATTTGCTAAACATAGCAATGTCTAACTGTTGACAAACGGAAATTTTCTAAGTTTTGACCTAAACTTGATTTCAATTTATAATTTCTTGGCTAGTAGAAATATTAGCTAGTAATATCATTTTTCGACAGCAAGTATTTCACTGTCATCTACAAAGTTTATACTTCAAACTTTATTTAAGTATCACACACATGTTCTATAGTATTTTTGCTTAATACAAATTGGTTTTAAACCCTACTTGATATACCTGAACTATTGAATCAA